TAGAACAGTTCTTCTGTGTGTTTGAGACAAATAGAACAATAAGAAAAAAGGAGGGGGGGGAATCTAACTAAATCTCTAAGTGCGTCTCAGTCAGCTCCCTAGTTCAGCAGCCAGCGCACCCCTTGCGAAAATTAACCATGGTTTTACTACAAATTAAAGAACAAAAAAACATGGTTACTATAGTTAAACCATGGTAACTGTAATAAAACTGTGGTTATACAAATAGTAATCAATACGCCCCAAAAAAACATGGTTAATTTTCATAAGGGTTTGAACAAACATTCTTCCAGTAATGCTAATTTCTTCAGAGTTAACTGGTCTTTACTGATGTTCTCAAAATGGTAATGTTTAGTTGGACATTTTCTAAATGTTAAAGACAGATGGGTTAAAGACAGAGAGTGTGTGAAATGGCATTGGCTTTAAAAGCCAAATAACCATTTTGACTTCCTTTTTATCAGTAACATTCATCTTTTCCTCACAGACAGCAGCAACATGTGTACTGTACAATAGTGGCCTAGGGCCCTCCTGCAAAGGAAAGAACCAAACCTCAACACTAGATGACGACAAACCTCAAGTTCCTCTGTTAATGACTCATGAAACCACCAAAATGCTAAAGAAAACAGCCTATGTTGGTTTTTAGCTGTTCTCCCAGCCTCACTAAGCTGCTCTTCAGCTGTTTTTTCAGGAATACTTAAATTGAAATGCCATTGTTCCCTCTGATGCCACTTTGCGTACCAAAAGTATTTATGATAACAATAACTAAAATTATTATTTATTTGCATATTTTATGTTTAAAACAAAAATATTAGCAACTTTTTTTTAAGCTAGACATGAGCAACAGCAACAAACAATATTTGTTCACACATAGATAATAAATATTATAGAGGTAAAACTGTTATCACATGGACCTTGATCGCACTGCTGATGATCATGTAGACAAGGCTGGGCATTTTTTCATGTAGCCAATGGAATTGCGGCACACCTGTTCTTCACAGGTGATGTTATAAGCGCGAGGTGCGCCCGTCACATTGACGCAGCGCTCTTTGCACTGGCATTACATAACCTCAGGAATCCAAGAATCCACATTCCATCCCAAAACTCAATACTGACAGAAGGGTTTGTTTATACACCCCCTACCTCTGAATACTCCGATACACACACATTCACCTAGCTGTACACATGGGGATATACCAGATCTAGAATATAAGGCAAAATGCAAACACAAATCTAAATCTTATTGCTAAAAGAAAACTAAAAAAAAAAAAATCAGATTTATTAACTTACGTTATCCAGCAATTCTGGCCCCAAAGAATGGTTAGATTAGACACACACAGAGAGACATCCCATAATCCTTATTTCTCTCTCAGGTATGCATGCTCTTTCTCCTTGTAATGTAATACTGATCCTTGGCTTGACTAGGTAATGGTAAGAGGCGTTTCTCTCTTTTTTGTTGTAGAGATCGCCTGACTCAGGTTTGCCTCATTTACGTCTGTGCTTGATGCATGTTGTTCCAATGCAATGTTGTTCCTTCGATGGAAATTTTAGGATTACATTTCTGTAAATGTTTGTGGTTACATGCACATTCTGATCTGTGTGTGTGTTCATGCTTTTGTGTGCTTGTCAGTGTGTGTTAATCAGCAGGAGCACAATGGGATTAGACAGAGAGCTTTTGGCCAAACAGGAGAGAGATAACTTTTTAATCCTGAGTAGTCAGCTGACTGTAGAGAACAGGGTGTTACAAAGAATGTGTTGTTATTTTTGACTGAAAGTAAAACTATTAAAAATCGCTTTAATGGATGAAATAAAGCATAAAATAAAATGTAAATATTAGATGAAAAAAGCTAGAATGAAAATTAGAAATGTTGCCTTTAACTATATTTTTAACTAACAATAATATTCTAAATAATATTTAAAAATTGAATATAAAAAATGTTTAATATTAAATATTATTAATAATATTAACCGATAACTGACTAAAACTGAAATAATAAAAACTGGGGTGGGGGGAGAGACGAAAACTGAAAACATTAATACTAAAATAGTATATAAATGATACTAAAACAACACAGGTTAATTTAGACTAAAATATTTTAGGGTTCACAAAATATAATTTTGTTATTCAGTATTTTTGTTTCAATATGTTTGTTTTTCCTGTGAAATCACCTCAGTGTTCTTAAAGATACATTTAGTTGTTAAAATTGTGTAAAAAAAATTCTTACCCTTTCCTTTTTCTTTTCTGACAAATTGTTTTTATTCTTGTTTTAAGCTAGATTGATTAGATTTATGCATAATAATGAAAACTAAAATATATTAATTTTAACAAATTAAATATTCTTTAAAAAGTCTAAACCTACAAACTTGTGCTTGTATTGTTTTAAGAATGTTTATTTATTTTGTATAATTTTTTTTTTACTGAAAATGAAGACAAAAAGGTTTGATACAATACATAAAAACATGGAACAAGACTGATGCACACACAATGAAAAAAAACGGTGGATGTTTTCACCAAATATCACAAACAGATAATTTTTTTTTTACTGAAAATGAAGACAAAAAGGTTTGATACAATACATAAAAAACATGGAACAAGACTGATGCACACACAATGAAAAAAAACGGTGGATGTTTTCACCAAATATCACAAACAAAGAACCAGCAAGTAACACATTGAACTCTACATGATTTTTTGAAGTAGAAAATATTGAAATAGCATTTTCTTGTAAAACATATAGACATAGTATTTTCATGTAAAACATACTCAGAATCTCAGAAAGCTTTTTTGACAGTGCAGCCTTTGTACAGAGCTGCTTTCAAAGTATGGGAGAAGTCATGTTTGATGAGACATGGGTTAGGTGTGAACGTCATATTAAGAAAGTGACAACTAAAAATACAAGATCTGCTGTTTTAGATGACTGACTCTACCTGTTTGATACACACGTGGGGCTAGAAGTTATGCGCTCAGGGGAGAACAGGGTAAGGCAAGCGAAACAGAGAAGGAAAAGAGGGCGGGAGAGACGGGGAGGCTGGGCCGGCGAGAATGAATGAGAGGGAGGGGGGAGAACTTTGACACTAAGGGCCAGAGGACAGGTTTGCTAGACAGTAGAGGATTCAGAGAGAGAAAGACAGACTTTAGACTTCTGAACTTGTCACTAACAACACGCCTGCCCCTCAGACAGAGGAAAAAGAAAGAGGCGAAAGAAGAATGAAAGAGTTGATTATCTAGAAAGGGTGCGTAACTTCTCTGTGACTGTGGTGGGATTGTGTGTTTGGGAGCCCGAACTTTCGGATTCAGTCTGGATGGGAATTCCTGCTGTGCTTGTCAGATGGGGATTATTCCATGAACGGCTGGATCTCGTTACTGATAGCTGATGGCGATGACAGCCCTGTTCCGAATGTGGGGACATAAACCTCAAGTGGTCCTGACCAAACCTCAGGTGCCAGTGGCCCATCTGCCCAGCGAGGATGACGATGATGACGATGAGATGTTGCCCGGCAGAGCTCCTATACGCAGGAATTCACGGTTTTACCGTTCAATGAGAAAGAAAAAGTTGCCGTCGTCTTCAGAACAACAAGAAAGTGAGAATTCTATTATATATATATATAATTTTAAATCTTGAAAACCTCACATATACTGTTAAAAAATGAATAAAAATTACAAAAGCACAAAAATTTAAAATTTAAACTAAAATTAAATTGAAAACTAAAATATAAAATAAAAGCTAATTCAAAATAATAATAAATACTAAGGTAGTATATATATATATATTACAGGAGTAACCTCTGTCATTTTAAAATCAGTAAAGCTTTTCCCATTGTTTGACTAATAACACACAAAGTATGATACTGAAATTGATATGTTTGCTGTATTAGCGTTGCCTAGCAAATGTAGTGGGTCTAAACAAAGTGAACTATTGTTCCCTGTATGTTGTAAAACAGTTTACTATGGTTTGTATAGTAGCTCAACTGAATTAACCCTCTTCATTTACTTGTGTGACCTGTACTGTGCAACACTCTTTATTGGCATCTATAAAGGTTGCATGAAGAACACTCTAAAAAATGCTGGATTAAATAAAACCCAGCGCTGGGTTAAAAAGGGACAAACCCAGCTATTGGGTTGTTTTGACCCAGTGGTTGTGTTCAAAACAACCCAACCGCTGGGTCAAAACAACCCAACAGGTGGGTCAAAACAACCCAATAGCTGGGTTTGTCCCTTTTTAACCCAGCGCTGGGTTATATTTAACCCAACATTTTTTAGAGTGTATGAATTTGAAGGTCTCTAAATGATCAGCATGATCAAACCTTATAGTTAATCCTGTCACAGAATCTATTACATGAATTCTGTCTCTAATTGAGAGTTTGCATGTAAAAGCTCTTTTAGTAAAATCGTACAAATGTCCACCTTCAGCTGGTGCTTCGTGTGTCAAATGACTGATTTTTCTCAAGTAAACGTCAGAATAACTGCAGTCATATTTCCAGATGAACACTTACTGGACTGAAGCTGAAGCAGCTTCGCTTTACTTGATTTTTCCATAAAATCATGTTCAAATGTGAGTCTCAAATATGATCATCATGCTTTTGAGGAACGTTTATTTGTTCATCTCTCAGTCATCATTGGATTGCATTGCATTACTGTGCTATACAATCTCATTAATTTACATTACAAGCTTCAGAATTTCATCACTTTTTCGTCCATATGAATATCAGCATCTGCACCAAATTGTATATTTTTGCTCAGTTTGGGTCAGTTTTTTCATCCATATTTAGACTATATGAGCCATAAAAGCCTGGGCCCGTATTCCCAAAACATCTTAAGGCTAAAAGTAGCTCATAACTTGCCGATTTAGGAGAAAATCTTAAAAATAATGGGTGTGTCTTTTCTTGGGGGGTTTTGGAGGTTATCCCAACTCCAAATTTTCCTTTGATTATATCCTTGTTTTCATTAACCAATTGGGTAAGAAGTAACAGCTGGTCTTGTGTCTAGTTTTTTTTAACGTTTGCATGTCTTACTATCAGCCATAATTATTCTACTCTGTTAATTAAAAGGCTGTTTATGTGCATATCCACTACTTGTTTAAGAGAAGCACACATGTAAGAGGCTGACAATTAACTGAACATGTAGCTACTTGTTTAATTAGTCACACTTAGCCAGCATTTTAAAATTTTTATTTGAATGTAGCAATTAACATTTTTATTTTTAAACCTTTATTTGAATATGGCAACATAATATAGCGCTCTACAATATTTCTATGAATAAATCTCTGAAAGAGACTATCAGCCAATCACTGTGTGCATAGTTAATAAGCATGCTGACATCATCCATAGCAACGAGGTCAACCCCGCCCCCTTTACTCTTAGCTTAAGACTTCTCTCTATTCTTTAGTAAAGTTGGTCTCAGCAGCTTTGTGCATAGGTTTTAAGAGAAAACTCTTGGCTAAAGTTTTTTACTGCTATTTAGGAGAACTCTTAGTGGCAAGATAAAAAGTTTTGTAAATACGGGCCCTGATGGATCAAATATGATGCTAAACACACACACACACACACATATACACACACACATACACATATGAAGAGTTCATAAGCAAAAGCTCTAAGTGCCATCTGAAATTTTCTTCTAAAATGAATGAGCATTTTTCTCGGGCTCTCATGTGTAGGTTCAGTAATTTCACTTTAATGGCAATATATATATAGAGAGAGAGTATATGTCAGGTTTTACAGGGTGTGTGTAACTTGAGCTCATGTCAGGTGATTGTGACCGGCACACTTTCACAAAACATGATTAAATATAACCCAGCGCTGGGTTATATTTAACCCAACATTTTTTAGAGTGAACCTTTAGCATCCACTGACCTTTCCATTCCACAAAAGGTGTAATGGAAAAAGGTTATTTCGGTTATTAAAATGTTCTTCACACTAAGTTATTTTAAATGGACAGTTCATCTTCAGTTGTTGGTCCCTATTGAATTGCAGTATGTGTGTTTTAACCCTTTATACTATGGAAGTCAATTGACAGGGACATTGTACATTAATAAAACATTCCTGTAAATGTACCAGATGACAATGACTTGCATGGTGTTTTTTTTTTCTTCGTTTTTTTTTCTATACTATGGAAGTCAATGGGGACCAGCAACTGAAGGTGATCTATCCCTTTAAGAACCATTCACAGAAAGGTTCTTTGGGGAACCAAAGATGGTTCTTCTAATCTATGGCATCACTGTGAAAACCCCCTTTATTTTTAAGAGTGAAGATGAAACAAACATCAAACATCAAAGCAGTTTTGTACAAGTATCAAAACTTAAGTACTGCTTCTTTAAGAAGTTGATGCATACTTTGACATTTGTTAAAGGGATTCTTTTGATTTTGATGCCTCTGATGAGTGACAGCAGTGATAGATCTGCCTGTCAAACAAGTCCTGGTCCTAGTCATAGCAAAGAAAAAACCATTTAGTGTATTTAAATGGCTTGTACACAATTATGA